TTTTTCAAGAAGCAACTGGACTTTCTGGTTTTTTTTCTTCGAAAACGTTTCGCTTCTCACCCAAGAAGCTTTTTCAGCTCTGAAGAAGCTTCTTGGATGAGAAGCGAAATGTCTTCAAAGAAAAAAAACCCCAGAAAGTCCAGTTGCCTCTTGAAAAAAGCACCTTTGGGACAACCATGACCTGGAAGACTGAGAATCTCCACAGACATTGAACATAGATCTTTTTAACATTTATATTTTATTGGGTCCTGCTAATCTAGATGAAATGTTAATATAGCTTGATAGTCCATGTATGATATGCCGTACGCTAAATAAATCAATAAACTGAATCTATGAAGAAGCAGAAGAAATAGTTATTCTGACAGCTGCAAACCTCTCAGGCATGTGATAGGAAGTCTGCTTTAGATAATAGCACGTACAATGTATTCATAGCCCTGAGGGTGGACTAGATATTGAAACGAACGATTAAATTTACTAATTAGCATTGATTGGAACTCTTTGCAACATCTAAATCTCCTTTTGCTCCAGTGTATCCTTTGCAAAGGAATTCTTGAACAAGCTGAAAGAGTCTAACGTGCTCAGTTCCCATGCTTTCATAAATATCTTTGGGTTCGGAGTGTTTTTCCCTTAAAACGTTGTGGTCTTGGTGCATTCACCCCGATGGCTTTGTGTGCTCCTTGCACAGACTCCACCATTTTTGGAACGTTCACTACAGTGGTGAAATCTAAAATTTGTTACTACCGTTTCTGTGGGCGTGGCTTGGTGGTGGTGGGGTAATGTGACGGTGGGCGTGGCCAATTTTTTTTTTTTTTACTTTTAAAACCATTTTTTCTACAAATGCTTTCAAAATGCTTTCAAAAGGCTCTGATGATCCCAGCTGACTTGCCTGATCGGAAGAGATTTTTTTTCTTTTAAATGCCTCTGACGATCCAAGCTGAGTTGCCTGATCGTTAAAGGCATTTAAAAGAAAAAAAAGTCTCTGCCAATCAGGCAACTCAGCTTGGATCGTCAGAGGCATTTAAAAGAAAAAAAGGGTTTTTTTCTTTTAAAAGCCTTTGATGATCCCAGCTGAGCCGCACGATCATCAGAGGCTTTTTTTTTTTTTACTTTTAAAAACATTTTTTCAGCAGAAGAGGTTGTAGAAAAAATGCTTTTAAAAGTAAAAAAAAAAAAGCCTCTGATGATTGTGCGGCTCAGCTGGGCATTGGGGGGGGGCAGGGATTTTTGCCATCGGTTCTCTGAACCACCCGCCTCCATCGCTACCGGATCGGGCAATCCGGTCCGAACCGGGAGCATTTCACCCCTGAAATGAAAGCAAAGTGAAAGGAGAAAAGCCCACCTCCAGTGGCCTGTGTTGCATCGGCCTGCCCAAATCCCCTGGTCACATTTTCCTCTATCCCAACATTGACTGAGAAGACTGTAAGAGCAGTAGTGGCATGCTGCCGGTTTAACAACCGTTTCGGTGAGTGCGCGCTTTCACATGTGCCTAAGGCGCTTGCACGCAGCGCTGAAAATGGAGCATTTAGAAGCTCAGATGCTTACCTTCCAAGTCAGCAACGGTAAGTAGAACAACAAGGGGGTGCGGAAAATCAGCTGTGCCGTGCGATTGAGGTGAGCTACAAAGCAGGAAATAAAGGACAGGGTAGAGTGGGGGCAGGTGGGCGGGGCCAACTGATAGAGCTACCGGTTCGCCTGAACTGGTCCGAACCGGCTGAATACCACTTCTGTGTAAGATCTTTCTCACCATAGTGTTTTGCTTTCTGTTTCACAACCCAGTACTGAGGCTTGGTCCATGCATGGGAATGATACTAAGGAAGAAGAGATTTCACTTTCCCTTGTGAGTGAAACTAAGGCTCTTCAATTTGTCATTCAGAACTAGTCCTCCGCTTAAAAAGCCCCCCCCCCCCCCCGCCGCCACTAAGGCAAAGCAGAGACGAATTGATTGATGGAGCTAATTTGTTTAGACAGATCGATTCACAAAAGAGAGGGGAAATGGAACACTCTCCTTTTAGGATGCCAAGGAAGGGTGTGGGATGAGTTAGTGAAATAAATCCTCAGGCTGTTTGTTTTTTTATTTTTATCTTAAGTGCTACCAGCAGATCCACAGAACGGCTACATGGTTGTAGGTCGTGACTAGCTGCCCAAATTACTCCACGAAAAGGAAATGCTCAAGGTCTATTAAAAATAAATAGCTGAGCTGGGAATCAAGAAGTTCATTCTTCCCCGAGGAGTTGTTGAATGTTTGTAGAGTGATAGCCTACAGATCTCTTGTGTAGAGCTGACTTAGGTTCAGATTTTTACTCGGTCATAACAATGTCAGTTTCAAAGATCTCTTGGCAGGGGTGAAATGCTACTGGTTCGGTCCGGTTTGCTTGAACCGGTAGTAAAAAAATGTTTTAAAAAAAGTTCCGATGATCAGCTAAGCGACCCGCGATCATCGGAAGTTTTTTAAAAAACTTTTTTAGCATTTTTTTTACTACCGGTTCTCCAGGGAGGTAGTGGGGGAAGGAAAAAGGAGAGGAAGGAAGGAGTACAAACCAGGCACTAGAGGCGGCTTCAGAGGATAATCCAGGGCTGGAAGGGACTTGGAGGTCATCTAGTCCAACCCTGCTCCAGCAGGACATTCTTAGTGAGTTCTGTCTTTTGATCCCCCAGTCACATGGTTACATAGCCATGCCCACCCAGTCACATGACACACATGCCCACCAAGCCACGCCCACAGAACCGGTAGGAAAAAAATTTAGATTTCACCACTGTCTCTTTGGGTAAATCAGTCAGCATCTTCTAATTGGCTTCCTAAGATTTTTGTGAAGGTGTCAAAAGAGAAGAGCCAACAACAATTTGGGGATTTCTAGACGAAAAGTAATGTCAGCCAAGGAACTCTTCTTTTTCACATCCTGAAAACTTTGGAAATACAACTTGGTTTCTAATCTGTGGCTTCCAGGCGAAATGAAAACTGTCCATCTCAAGTCTTGACATTAAATACCTATTTTACAGTGAAGCTGAAATCAAACCAAATCTTTATTCGACCACAGACCAACAAATAAAAACACGAGTCACCCTTAATTAAGATAAAAGGAAAAATAATAGTTGTTCTAAACTATCTAAAAAGGGTTAGAGGTAATACTGGTAAGTCTTTTGATCACAGTGGAGCCCAAAATTTCCGTTGCTAAGCAAGACAGTTGCTAAATGACTTGTGCCTCATTTTACCATCTGTTTTGCCACTCTTGTTAAGCGAATCACTGTGGTTGTTAAGTAAATCATGTGGTTACTAAGTGAATCTGGCTTTCCCCCATTGACTTTGTCGGTTGGAAGCCATCTGGGAAGAAAGTTTCAATGATGGTCACGTGACTCTGGGATGCTGCAACTGTCATAAATACACACCAGTTGCTAAACTCTCAAATTTTAATCACTTGACCATGGGAATGCTGCTATAGTTGTAAGCGTGAAAAATGGTCATAAGTCCCTTGTTTAGTGCAGTTGTAACTTCGAATGGTCACTAAACAAATGGTTGTAAATTGAGGAGTACCTATATAGGTAGTGTATAGGTACTCCTCATGAGTGGTGCGGTGGCCTAGAGGTGGAACTGTCGTCTCACAATCAGGCGGCTGTGAGTTTGATCCTAGGCAGATATTTCTCTCTCTGTTGAGAGAGGGCATGTTGAGAACATATCTGCTGGATATAACTCTGCATTGGCGACAGGAAGGGCATCTGGCCAGTAAATACTCAGCTCCATTCAGTTTCCCAGATTGACCCCTCTACCTTCCCCCGGCAAGGGATTATGGGGTCATTAAAAGAAAAGGATGATAGGTACTCATAAAAAGTGATTTACGACCATTTTTCACATTTAACGACCTTTCCAGCATCCCCATGATCATGTGATCAAAATTCGGATGCTTGGCAACCGGTTCACACTTACAACCGTTGCTGTGTCCCGCAGTCACCTTTTTTGCGACCTCCTGACCAGCAAAGTCAACACGGAAGCCAGATTCACTTACCAACCACAGCGATTCATTTAATGACTGAGGCAAGAAAGGTCATAAAATGGGGCAAAATTCACTTAGCAAATGACTCACTTACCAACACAAATTTTGGGCTCAGTTGTCCTAAATCGAGGGCTACCTGTATTACAATGTACCATGCAGACTATAGAACGGTACTCGGATGGAGAATAGGAAACACAAATCAGATTGATCCAGTGGTAACATTTTGAGATAAAACAAATTGGAACAACAAGGGCATTTAGTAAAAGGTGGAAAGAATAGAATAGAATAGAATAGAATAGAATAGAATAGAATAGAATAGAATAGAATAGAATAGAATAGAATAGAATAGAATAGAATAGAATAACAGAGTTGGAAGGGACCTTGGAGGTCTTCTAGTCCAACCCCCTGCTCAAGCAGAAAACCCTATAACATTTTAGGCAAATGGTTGTCCAGTCTCTTCTTAAAAACTCCAGTGTTGGAGCAATCACAACTTCTGGAGGCAAGTTGTTCCACTGTTAATTGTTCCAACTGTCAGGAAATTTCTCCTTAGTTCTAGGTTGCTTCTCTCCTTGATTAGTTTCCACCCATTGCTTCTTGTTCTGCCTTCTTTTGCTTTGGAGAGTAGCTTGACTCCCTCTTCTTTGGGGCAGCCCCTGAGATATTGGAACTCTGCTATCATGTCTCCCCTAGTCCTTCTTTTCCTTAAACTAGACATACCCAGTTCCTGCAACCGTTCTTCATAGGTTTTAGCCTCTAGTCTCCTAATCATCTTTGTTGCTCTTCTCTGCACTCTTTCTAGAGTCTCCTTCTAGAGGTTCTTTCTTACATCGTCGCGACCAAAACTGGATGCAGTATTCCAAGTGTGGCCTTACCAAGGCCTTATAAAGTGGTATTAACACTTCACGTGATCTTGATTCCATCCCTCTGTTAATGTAACCAAATTATTCTTTGTGAACGGACTTCCCGAGACTGTTTTCTCTCTCTCTCACGGGACCTTCTTAATATCTTTTCCAGGGTTTCATTAGGATGTTTAGCGTCGGATACTTGATCCAGTGTTGCCTTCGCATCCCATCCGCGTTCCGACATCTGTTTACAAATCCATCCCGGCTTCTCTCACTTTTCTACAACAAAGAAAACTTCCAGCTTGGAGCTTTCCTTGGGTCATTTGTCAGCATATACAAAGTAAGTTTCAAAAGTGCTGAAAAATTAGAACGTGATTATGCTAAGCTCCTCATCTGGCGTCAGCAGCTGCTGCCGTTGCAACCCTTTAGCTAAAAGTACCTTTATTGTTCTGGAGCAGAGTATCTATCGAAGCTAAATTAAACGCTTTATTTGCAAACAGTTTTGAAGGGGGGGAAAATACGTTGGCACTAACCAACCTCATTTTTTTTTTTTAAACCTAATATGGATAAAAGGCGGAATGTTCCTTAGTGAGCATTAGCGGGAAATTGGTGGGTTTCCGTCAGAAATTCGTAACCTCCCTAATAGGGGCAAGGTGGAAATTCACATGATTTTGCTTTCTCTGACGTGAAGTCTTTATAACATTCCATTACTCGGTAAGCTAGGAGAAAAAAAAGCAAGGGCTGAAAATGAGCGGCAAAAATGTGAGGGTTAAAAAACAACAACCGGTCAGTATTATCATGGAATGGAAGCTTAGAATGGAAGTTTGGTTTAGTGGTTATTATAAGGGACTCTGTGGCTCAGTGTCTAAGATGCCGAGCTTGTTGATCGAAAGGGCAGCAGTTCAGTGGTTCGAATCCCTAGTGCCGCATAATGGGGTGAGCTCCCGTGACTTGTCCCAGCTTCTGCCAACCTAGCAATTTGAAAGCACATAAAAAAATGCAAGTAGAAAAATAGGGACCACCTTTGGTGGGAAGGTAACAGCGTTCCGTGCACTTATGGTGTTTAGTCATGCCGGCCACATGACCACGGAGAAGTCTTCAGACAGCGCTGGCTCTTCGGCTTTGAAACGGAGATGAGCACCGCCCCCTAGAGTCTGGAACGAATAGCACATATGTGCCAGGGGAACCTTTAACTTTTACCTTTATAAATCCACCTCGAATATTTTTAATTAACTTAAATTTTAATGAATTAATGCTATTAGTTTGGTTAAAATTAATTTTTAATCAATCTATTTTATTTATTTATTTATTTAGCCAGTTATTTAGTTATCTACCTACCTACCTACCTACCTACCTACCTACCTACCTACCTACCTACCTACCTATTTCCTGCCTCCATTATTTTTACAAATAACTCAAGGCGGTGAACATACAACATATTCCTTCCTCCTCTTATTTTCCTCACGATGACAAATAGGTTTGCTATGAAAGCAATTCCCACTTTCTGTATATGCCTGGTTTTTTTTTTTTTTTTTTTTGCTAGCTCCAGTGCACAGCGAAAACGTTGCTTTGTGTAGAACTTATTTCTTTCTACGTTCTACAAATTAGAAACCTAAATAGGTGGACTGTCTAATGCAGGGGTGGGGAACTGTGGCCCTTTTATGACTTATGGACTTCAACTCCCAGAATTCCTGAGCCAGGAATGGTAAAACTTCAGACTAGAAATCAATGAAGGGAATGATTTCTCGTTCTGTAATGCTGTCTTCGTGTAAAATACCTTTTGTAGGCACTACGTTAAACTTTTCTCCCTGAAGTATTAGGTTGTTATATCCAAGGAGATTTTTACTAGAGGAGTACAGTACTAATATGGCCCCCTTATCATCCAGGGCCTGCATTCTATTGTACTGGGATATCACTTTTTATTGCTTATTTATATATTTACATCTCACTTTTGTTATTTTTATAAGTAATTCAAGGCAGCGAACGTACCTGATATTCCTTCCTTCTCCTGTTTCCCGCACACAACAACCCTGTGAGGTGGGTTGGGCTGAGAAGGAGTGACTGCCTCAAAATCCCCCAGCTGGTTTTCATGCCTAAGGTGGGACTAGAACTCACGGTCTCCTGTTACAGGCTTGGGACAGTTCCGGGACTAGAACTCACAGTCTCCTGTTCCAGTATTTTAACCACTGCATCAAACTTTCTTAGCTACCTATCTAATGTTTATTTATTTATTTACATTAATTTGTCAAGCGAAAATTACAAATTCGAACAAGCAAAATGAAAACAAATGGAGCAATAGGCACGTTAGTGCACTTACATGTGCCTCCTTAGGAAACATGGGGTGAGGTCCACAGAAGTTAAATTAGAATTAAAACCGTGAAAGTCAGCTGAGACAACTGAATCCTGAATTCCAGACTTTGACAACTCGGTTACAAAAATCTTTTTTTTTTTTTTTGCAGTCACGTTTAAAGTGATTTACATTAAGTTTAAAGCGGTGTTACTGTTAAACGTAACTATGTACAGTTTTATATGCAATGCCTAAACGTATTGGTGAAGCAAATTCTCCACAATAGAAGTTTACAGTAGATAAGAAACATACAGGCTTCTTTGTGTGAGGAGGATTTTTGAGATAACACTTTGTTAATCATTAAATAACTGAATAAAATCTGCCTTAGAAGGAAAGAACATATACATTTGCACGCACACAAACGCTCCTATACCTTTGAATTTGCCTGAAGCGTTTTCCCGTTGAACAACCTTTAACATATATCTACATACAGTGTTCAGTTTAGTTTATAAGTCATAGCACAGGGCGTTATAAAATAGTGATCAAAACTGAAGCCACAATCAGCAGTTTTCTTGGCTTGATTAAATTCTAAGTCTATTATTGGGATCTTTGTTACTAAATTATTGTGTTGCAATGACAAAAATGTTGCCATGATTTCCTTAAAAATGCAGGGTACAAGCTGTTTCCTGCGATGGGTCCGGAACCTGGACGATGAAGTACACGCACTCATTGCAGGTAAATCTACATTTCCTCCCAACAGTCTCCCTCAGATTCCCAAAGTTAGTAGTTTCCATGGATCTCTTTAAGGTTTTAGGTTTAGGTTTTATTAAATTTGTATACCGCCCTACTTCCGAAGGACTCAGGGCGGTGAACAGGCACAAGATAAAATACAGAAATACAAAAGTTAAAACAATTTAAAACCAAATTAAATAATATTGGCCCACGACAATTAAAATCCCAATAAATTTAAAACCAATTAAAATTTCAATTTAAAATTTAAAAAAGGGGAGAGAAATTAGGCCAGGCCGGCTTGCTGGAATAAGAGGGTCTTAAGAGCACGGCGGAAGGTGCGCAGATCCGGGTAAAAGCCGGATTAAGAGTAAAAGCCTTCTGATACTTTCTGGAGAATAATGTTGTGCATCTTATCTATGAAGATTCTCAGTCATCCAGGTCATGGTTGTCCCCAAAGTACTTTTTTCAAAATGCAACTGGACTTTCTTGTTATTCTTTGAAGACATTTCACTTTTCATCCAAGAAGCGTCTTCAGCTCTGGCTGGATGGATTCTTCCATTCCCCCGCATCCAGCTAGAGCTGAAGAAGCTTCTTGGATGAGAAGTGAAACGTTTTCAAAAGAAAAAAAAACAAGAAAGTCCAGCTGCCTCCTTAAAAAAAGCCCCATTGGGACAACCATGACCTGGATGACCGAGAATCTCCATAGAATGTCATCTCCAGTTTTTATGGAGTTGCACTGAAAAGAAGCAGAAAGTTGTTTTACTTTGGAAGAACTGCTGCTGCTGCCATTAGCAAATTTGCAGTGACAATTTAGCGAACCAGTGTCTGTACAAAGCCTCAAGGTTTTTTGTTTGGGTCTTTGGTCCTTTCATGACATAAAAAAGAGATACTCACAGTCTCCCATTTGAGCAGTCTCCTTGCCTCAGGCTTTTCACCATTCCAGCAAGGCACCTGGTAATACTAAAACTCCATTAATAATTGGCTTCCTCTCTTAGTCAGTGTTTGATGGTGCCAGTGGGACCAGTTTTGAGATGCTTTAGAGGCATCCTCTCTACCCAGATGGTACCCGGGCTATTATTCTCCCAACATGTCAGGTTGAGAAGAACAAGTTGACGTGGTAGAAAGTAGACACTGCCAGCAGAACAAAACGATAAACTAGCTCTCCAGCATGCTTGAAGGGAGAACAGGAAAAACCAAACTTGAAATAAACTGAAGAAGCTTCTTGGATGAGAAGCGAAACGTCTTCAAAGAAAAAAACAAGAAAGTCCAGTTGCCTCTTGAAAAAGCACCTTTGGGACATCTTATAGGGTGGAACCTCCATAAATGATTGCAAGAAAGCCTTTATAAATTATTAAGCTGGCTACTGTAATAACACAAAGATGGTATGTAGGCCATGTCTGGAACAGAATGTTTGCAGTATTGAAAAATCAGGTTTTGGGGGGGCTGAGAATAATGTTAGAAGAGATTGTCAAAACTGAAAGAACCCCAAGAGAACTTGTAAAGGAATTAAAAGAAAGGTCACTAAGAAATAAGAAAGAATGGACCTCGGAATGGTCTTGAATATATGAGTTCAGTAGCAGATCAAGGGAATATACTGATCATTGTGCTATCTTTTCCCCCTTCTTTTCATGGTGTTAAAAATCATGAATCAAGTTGAATGATAAAAGATGTAGGACAAACCAAAAGGAATCACTTCTTCACACAGCAAATGACTCAAGTGTAACATTTTCTACCAGTGATGTGATATACATAATTTGCAAGTGGCTTCAAAAATGAGAGTAGACAACTAGAGCATCAAGTTTTAAGTGACTCCTGACGGTCACGGGGCTATATTAGCCTTCTCCAACATGATTCTGTGGAGCAAATCGGAAAGGGAAGGCTGATCTCTTTTACCTGAAGTAACTGAGCTCTTTATAAAACTTCAATGTGCAATGGTCAGATGTAGTATTCAGCCAGTTCGGACCAGCTCAGGCGAACCGGTAGTGGAAATCGCAGGTGGGCCGGCCGACCTGCCCCGGCTCTATGCCGTCCTATTTAGGCACCTTTTTGAGGCCAGGTGTATGCACGGAAGGCTCATGCACCAGCAAAGCACATGCGCGGAAACCCAGGTACATGCGCGGAGGTGGGGCGTGTGCTCTCACATTTTCGGTGATGGGCAAACTGGTAGGTAAATTATATATGAATCCCATCTTTGGCAACGATGTCTCAGTGACATCAAGTTGTTCACAAAGGTGAGACAGGATGAATTAGATAAACTTCTTTCAATCCAGCTGGAGTCCCTTTCTCTCCATTTATTTGGGAACTGCTATAGTAGAATTTCATGTGGTCCAGTATCCAGAATTTGGCTAACTTGCTTTCTTTTTTTTTTCTTTTTTTTTTAACCTCACAGGATCCCTAGCGGGATTGTCCATGATGTTTTACAAAAGCACAACTATTTCAATGTATCTGGCTTCCAAACTGGTAGAGGTAGGCCTCTCTGTGCTGTCAACATATCTTTTCCTCAGGAACAGCAGAATTCGTTTCATCCAGTGATACTCCAGCTCAAGCTTCCAATAAAGAAGAATATTTGTAGCTCAGGGTTGAAATGAAGGGTCCTTGGTGCTCTCTGAGCTTGGTTGTTTTCTTGCAGACGTTTCATTACCCAAACTAGGTGCAGCAACTAGCACTAGTTGGGATTATACCCAACTGATTCCACTGCTGCTTTTTAAAAAGCCTTGTAGGGTTGACTCCCTGTCTGTTCTGACCTAGGCTTCCCAAGAGCACGAAGCAGACTCCTTGTCCCGACAAAAAACCCTTTTTATTAAGTTACTGTGAATTCCTCTCATTCACATTCAGCAAAATCTTCCAAGGGAGAATTTACAGTCACAGACCTTATCTGGCTTGGAGAGCTGCCAGGCCGATATCTTCAAAACTTGGCAAGAAGTCTCTGAGAGTCACGAACCAATTAAGCGAACTAATTGTCTCCTGCAAACTCCATTCCCCTTTCGCTCCTCTTTATTCCCTGTGGGAGGGGCCATTCACCATCCACCTGTGACTTTACTCCCGAGTCGACCCTTATTCCTTAGCTGTTCCTTTTGTCTGGCAACTCTGCGCATGCACACACTGGGAATAGGCTCCAGCTGTTCTTCTGCCCCACTGATGTCCGACTCCGAAGGCAGTTGACAACTGTCAGACAGCCCTGGCCCCTTCTCTGCCTCTGACGCAGAGCCCTCATCAGAGCCTTCCCCAGACTCCAGGACTGGCCCATGTTTCACCCCAACCTCCTCACTGTCTTCCCCAGCTCCATTGGCCGCTGGCGGGCCACAACACTGTCATTTTTCTTGTGCCTAACCTTGCATCATTGGTCTTTTTGGAAACTCATTCGCTTGCTCACTTGATTTTTTGTGTGTGTTTTCTTTTTAATTTTATAGACTATGTATTTCAAAGGCATTGAAGCTGGAAAGGTTCCTTATTTCCCTCACGCAGACAGTATAATCTACGCTGTATCCACCGCCATCTGCTTCCAAGCTGTAAGTTTTTGTTCTTTAGGTTCAAATTCTTTTTGTTTATGTCTAATGTTGCTCATTAAGTAAAAGGATGTAGGGCAGTTTGTCCTAGACATTCATTCATACAATAGCTGCTTGACACACTTTCATTTTTAAGAGGTTTGTTTATATTTTCAGGCTGCTAGAGAAGAAGAGATGATCAAACCTGCCATAGCTGGGGACATCTTCCAACAGCCCAAACAACTTTCTTGATATTTATGAGGAAAATATTTGTAGTTCAGGATTGAATTGAGAGGTCCTTGGTGTTCTTTCAGTTTGGTGCTTTCTTTGCAGGTGTTTCATTACCAAACTAGCTAATATTGTCAGTGCACAGGTGATATTACCTAATTATTTGGCAATGAAATGCCTGCAAGGAAACCACCAAGCGCAGAAAGCACCAAGGACTTCATAACCGCAGTGATCCTCCCTATCTGTTTGCATGATCACCTTGGGTGAGCTCATTCCACGCTACGGCCTAAAAACTTAGCACACAATTAAAATTGGTTACACAGCTCACCCATTGTAAGGTAGCATAGATCAGTGAATTTGGAAGAAATCGTTGACATTTGAGCTCTGTATATTTTATTCAGCGACAGTATGATTTAACGTCCAAGAAGCAGTACTAGCATAATAGTGTATCCAGGCCAAGTTGTTGATCTTTGTGAGAGATGATAGCAATAGCAATAGCACTTAGACTTATATACCGCTTCACAGTGCTTTACAGCCATCTCTAAGAGGTTTACAGAGTCAACATTATTGCCCCCAACAATCTGGGTCCTCATTTTACCCACCTCGGAAGGATGGACGGCTGAGTCAACCTTGAGCCTGGTGAGATTCGAACTGCCAAATTGCAGGCAGCTGGCAGTCAGCAGAAGTAGCCTGCAGTACTGCACTCTAACCACTGCGCCACCGCGGCTACTAATGATGAATTAGTAGTATTTACAAGAATGTCTTACCCAACTCAGTGCTCTCTAGTGTGAGTTGGCCAAAGCAAGTTGGCAGGGGTGATATGGCCATGGCAAGTTGTGTAGGCCATTCATGTGATGCCCATGTGCACTGGCAAGCACTGGTACACAAGCTCAGTGATTGCCAGTAGGCATCTGAGTGCAATTCAAGATGCACCTATAAAGTCCTTCCTGGCACAGGGCCTTATTATGTGGGCAGCCATCTATCATTTTATTTAAGGTCCACCTCCTTATCATTTTTTGCCCTTTCCACTTAATTTTGATAGGATTGTGGTCTGCCCACGAATTTATATCAATATTAATTTCCTCAATTTCTAAATTTAACTTTGTTGATGCCCAGACCATATCAATTCAAGTCCAAGATTGATGTCTGCCAGAATAATATGTATATTGTTTCTTATTCCCGTTTCTTTCCCTCCAACTATCCTTTATACTCAATTCTTCAACCCTTTTAAAAAATGTATTACGTAATATCCTTCTGACACCTTTCTTTAATCTATCATTTGTGTAATCTAGTTCTCTATCTACAATCGTATTAAAATCACCGATTATGCACATGTTATCGTATTCTAAGTGAGTGCACTCCAGATCTCTTCAATTAAATATTGCTACCTTGAGGGGCTAAGGAAGAATGCCTTTTCTGCTTTTAACCCCTGCCTTCTGGAACATCACATCACCTGTCCCCTCCCTGAAATATGGATGGTGCCCATTCTCCTTGGGTTCTAGGAAATCTTTAATAGCACTTAGCAATAGCACTTAGACTTATATACCGCTTCACAGTGCTTTTACAGCCCTCTAAGTGGTTTTACAGACTCAGCCTATTGCCCCCAACAATCTAGATCCTCATTTTACCCACCTCGGAAGGATGGAAGGCTGAGTCAACCTTGAGCCTGGTGAGATTCGAACTGCCAAACAGCTGGCAGCCGGTGATCAGCAGAAGTAGCCTCCAGTGTTGCACTGTAACCACTGCGTCACCGCGGCTTTAAGGTTTGACTCTGCTGCCAAGCTGGGTTTAATTGTTCATACAGTTGCAAGAAAAAGTATGTGAACCCCTTGGGATTACGTGGAGTTTTGCATGAATTGGTCATAAAATGTGCTCTGAACTTCATCTAAGTCACAACAATAGAAAAACACAGTCTGCTTAAAATAATACTACACAAACATTAGATGTTGCCATGGTATAATTGAACATAACATGTAAACAGTCACAGTGCAGGGAGGAAAAAGTATGTATTGAATTGAATTGAATTCCCAACTTAAAGCCAGAATTTTTTTTTTGTTTTTTTTTTTTTTAGGCTGTGATGGAAGTCCATAACCTGAGACCTTCATATTGGAAATTCCTATTGCGATTAACAAAAGGAAGGTGAGTAACTCACAGTAGTTTCATGTCCATGGAGATTCTCAATCGTGCAAGTCACGTTTTTTTTTCTCCAAAAGGCAACTGGACTTTCTTGGAAGCTTCTTGGATGAGAAATGATATGTTTTCAACGGAAAAACAAATGAACAAGAAAGTCCAGTGGCTTTTTGGAAAAATCACCTTTGGGCCTCAATGATTACCATTGCCCATTTCTGTAAGAAACATGGTGGGTACCAGACTTTCTTTTTTTAAAGGAATTTTGAAGGCATTTTGTGTTAAATGATGAGATGGTCAATTAACATGATTTTTTTTAAAAAAAAAATAAAAAGCATTCTAGGAGCTTACATTCTAGGAGCTGGGTTCACTTAAGATTGTCCTTCAGTACATAAGATTTTTTTATATATATAAAATAATTTTTATTGAGTATTTTACATTTTAAAACCAAACACCCAATAGCAAAAGAAATCAAGAGACAAAAACAAAAAAACAAAAACACACGTACACCAGACATTAAAATACAATACTAACAATAGATATATACAATTTTACAACTTTCTGCATCGACTTTTGTTTTTACTCTTAGCTTTTATCCTCCCGCTCCTTCTCTTTATTTTTAAATATTCATAATTAACTGTTTTGTTAGCAGGATCATTATTTACATTTATATCCAGTATGTTAATATCTAATTTTACTTTATATTCTTATTTCTTAATTTGATTTCTCTCTTCCAATCATGTATAAAACCTATTCCACACTTTATAATTATAATAGAAGACACGAGTCTTCTCTTGCTTTGATCTCCATCGTTAATTTATCCATTTTGGCGCATTCAGTACATAAGATTTGTATTTGTGCCCCAAAACAGCAGTGATTCAGGCAAGGAGTGTCATTTTTATCACAATTTTAGTTAGCATGCATTTTTATTTTAATCTTTGTTAGTCCCAAAGAGAAGTAGAATAATATTTCAGATTGCAACCTTTTCTCGTCTACTTGGCTAACAGAAATAACTTTCACTGGAAGTTGGTTAGTCTTATACAAGAAGTCTAATAAAAAAGTTTGTTTGAAACATTGGAGAAAAAAAATATCAAACATCTGAAATTTTTGAAGGCCTTTAACAGGATAAGGAACATTTTAGTCGGGTTTATTGGAAAATATTTTTGCCGTTTCTTATCATTTTACCAAAGTAGTATATAAACATAGTAACATATGTTTATTATATTTCTCTTAAGATATCATTGCATGCTTCTTTTAATAAATGTTTTATTTCACTATTGTTTTTCAGTGGGATGAACATGGTTTTAATTTTTTAAACTTTGCCGTAAAAAAAAAAAAAGTTAAATTCATACCACGGAGTTCATAATCCTGTTTTCTGTTGCTTTATTCCCTGAGTTATATAGTACATTAATTTTGGATCTTTCATTTTCTAGATTTGGTGTCATGAACAGAAAAGCACTGGATGTATTCGGTACCGAAGCATCTATGTATTTTAAGGATTTCTCTCCAGAACTCGACCCAAGATATACAGTTATGCCACCAGCAAGACCTATTCAAAAATCTTGGAACTGATGCATCCGTTTGTGATTATGTTTTACCACCAGCTGTCCTAAAGAGTTAATTAACTTAATAGTCAAATAGATGGAAGACTGCTTGTGTTCCACATCAGTATTGTTTCAGTGAGTTATGTTATACAATCAAAATACTGAAACACCGTTGCAAGGTGTGGCTTAATTCCACTTCCCTTCTTAGATAGAAGCTCTGGATCACTGTGGATGGTTGACACAACCTGGTAGATTGTTTTTTTTAAAAAAAATTGCATTATATATCAATGGATTAATATATGAAAAATATTTTTTTTTAAAAAAAAAATGCCCAGATGTGGTTTAAACCAGGGGTCTCCAACGTTGGCAACTTTAAGACTTGTGGACTTCAACTCCCAGAGCTCTGCTGGCTGAGGAATTCTGGGAGTTGAAGTCCACAAGTCTTAAAGTTGCCAACGTTGGAGACCCTTGGTTTAAAAGATATACATCCACAGTTCACACTGATTCATTCCAGTAGGTAGCTTTTTTAAAAAAAGAAAAGAAAAAGAAAAAAGAAAAATGATATTTTTACATTTAGAAATAAAAGATACGTAAAACAAATATATGTATATGTATGCTATAGTTGCAGATCAGATTCTAGCGGAAAAGATTTTCTTTTAGATGGATTTTTTTTTTTAAAAAAAGATTATTATGGCTCTTGACAATTGTTTTAAAAAAGGCAATATCGGTATTTTATTTATACAGCTGCACTGTTTATATCCAACTTTGGCTTTGAATACTGCCTTCTGAGAGCATCTATTCTCCAAACCCAGTTGCACACTGAGAGGTAAAAAAAAAAAGGGGGGGAGTCGGACATTTGGACTTTTCAAGAGGAATGTAGCAGTTTTCAGTTTTTGCATACATGAATTGAAGAGAAAAAAAAATTACACTGTTCTGACAACATTCTTCAGAAAGTGACTATGCCACTGAACACACAGCTGTCTTGATTTTATAAACTTAAATGTTGCTTTCTGGTAACATTCAAAGCGAACCCAAGATCTTACATTCGGTGGATAAAGTAAAACAGGGGGACGTATTAAGAATATTGGTGATATCTACTTCTACAGATTGCATTAGCTGATTTTTCTGATTGGCCCGTGATAGTGTAAAGCTGGTCATTGCACAAGCCACTTGCTTTGATGGATTATCTGATTTCTGGTTTAACAGCCACTTTAGTATAGCTGCACGTGAACTGCAAGGAAGGACTTTCGAAGCGTTTGAGAGATTAAAAGGGGAAAAAAAAAACCTACTCAGATCTGTACGATATCTTAAAAGCTGAAATACCTGTGATCAAAAGTACCAGAAAGAGAGAGATTGCTTGGTACTAGATTTAATTTCTGTACACTGATTTTCCCCCTCTATCTATTATATGATTTGAACATGCACACAAATTAACCAGTATTATTTCATTCACTGTAACAATGATGCCGCATTCACAGGACAGGAGCATAAATTTTTTTTTTCATCCTAAGGAATTTGTCAGAATTGCCATTCAGACTAAACGAATGGAAATGAAAGTGGAATCAGGGGGGGGGGGGGAATTGATATCATATCATACCGTAGAGCACCTCTCTCTTTCTAATGTGAAATAATATTTCAATCATAATTTGCACTTATGTTCCAGTCGTTTGGACTAACAGGGCTGATTGTGTTTATTATCTTTATTGGAGAATGAAATCATGCGTCAGTCTTTTAAGAGACTATTGATTATGCTTGTTCAGTATTATCTTTTCTTTCTCCCCCAGTCCGTAGACTTTACATCTGGTTTTGTCAAATGTTTTTGAATCTGCTTCTGCCCTTGAGTGTGGATCAAAAAGGTTATTTAAATCAGATGGCTGCCCTAAAAATTGTCACTGCCAATTGTGTGATACAGGAAGTGATGCATTATCAATTGCTAGATGAGCAGAAAGTTTGAATGTCCTAGATAGTGGTGAGTGATGAATCTTCCTGATCAATAGCAATAACACTTAGACTTGTATACCGCTTCACAGTGATTTACAGCCCTCTCTAAGCGGTTTACAGAGTCAGCCTATTGCCCCCAACAATCTGGGTCCTCATTTTACCGACCTTGGAAGGATGGAAGGCCAAGTCAACCTTAAGACGGTCAGGATCGAACTGCAGGCAGCCAGCAGTCAACAGAAGTACTGCATTATAACCACTGCGCCATCACGGCTCACAATATTCCTTACGTAAGGCAATAGAGCAAGTTCTTCATAAAAGTAAACTTAGGACTCACTGATCTATCCAACTCCCGTCTCATGTGTTGCGACTTTGAAGTCTGCTGAAATAGTTTGAAGAACCCCAAGAAATACCCTGAAAATATAAATAGTATAAGATGTAGGGCAGTTAGTTAATGCCTGGAAGAACAAAGAACATAGAATAACGGGGTTAGGAGGGACCTTGTTGGTTGGATTTGAAGAATAAATAAATAGAAGAAATGCCTGGTCAGCATTTATTTTTAATTCTGTCTCTAAACATCAGCATTTCTTTTATCTGAACATCCTAGTTTCTTGAAGGGAAAAGATTTTAAGAAATTAACTTGAAGGACAGGAGAATTTAGATGGAATAGGATGGAGGTCATCTGCAGTCAGGATTGAGTATGAAAGAGCCAGAATGATATTCAAAAGTTTGAGCACTTTCCTTTTATTCTTTTTTAAAAAATTATTATTATTCAGGACAGGATGGGAGATCTCACCTGTAAGGGTAGAAAAAAAATGGGAATTTGGGGAGGGGGCAAAAAGTGCACAGGATTCCAATTGACTGGAATCCTGAGGAGGAAGAGATTTATGATGTACCACAGATACCCAAGCTCTTTGAATGTTCATAGTTGTTGTGTGATTCATTTATTTAGATACCACTTCTATATCAGGCTGCCATCCCAAAGCTCTCCATGATGCAGTGATAATAATAATTTAAACCTCCAAGATACTTTAAATGTTAAAAATTAAATCATAAAACCACGAACCAATAATGATCCTCTCGGCCACAGTCACAAAAATAAAACGAAGGCCATGAATAAAAATAGGAATAAAAGAAGATGCAAGCCATGAACTTGGCACTCTCCAAAGGAGCTCAGTTTTTTAAACATCTTTCTAAAAGTCCTCAGGGATGTCCAAACTCTACCGCTGAAAATCAGCACCTTCTGGCTTCAATTCCAGTCATCTCCTGGAAGTGAAGGACCACAAGGAGCTTCTCCCTAAATAATCTGGCCACTTGGGCTGATTCACATTGGAGAGGGTGGTTCTATAAGGTGCCCAGGTGCCAAGCCAAAAAGGTCATTTTGGATCACATAGCAGAAGAGAAGACAAATTTGAAAACACATGGGTATTCTGTGGAAGTATCTATTCCCTAGTTATCTTCAGTTTGAAAACTAATTCAAAACTTTTGAAAACTAACCAGGGGTAGGATTCAGAAATCTTAGCAACTGGTTCTCTGCCCAGTTGCTGGGTGGGCGTGACCATGGTGGGCGAGGCCTACTCGGCCTCCTGCACCATGGGGGGGCATTTTTGCTCTCCCCAGACTCCGGAGGCTTTCTTCGAGCCTCCGGGAGGGCGAAAACGGCCTCCCCCGGGCTCCGGAGACCCTCCAGAGGCTGGAAACTGGACCGTTTTCAGACTTCTGGTACTTCCGGTAGGCACATTTTTCACCCTCCCTAGGCTCTGGAGGCTTTCCTCGAGCCTCCAGGAGGGCGAAAACAACCTCCCCTGGGCTCCAGAGGCCCTCCGGAAGCTGGAAACAGGCCTGTTTCCAGACTTCCAGAACTTCCGGTAGGCCCGTTTTTCGCCCTCACAGAGCCTCCGCGCAGACCCTGCACTTACCTGGCATCCAAAACGGGCTGTGTGGAGACTTTTGGGAGGGGCGGGGTGGGGTAGGCGGGGTCAGCCAATCCTTGCAACAACTGATTCAGCAAACCAGATTAAAATTAACATCCGGTTCACCCAAACTGGTCTGAACCGGCTGAATCCCACCCCTGAAACTAACCCAAAAATGTCATTTTGGGTCACAAAGCAGAAGGGAAGACAAATTTGAAAACACATGAGTATTCTGTGGAAGTATCTATTCCCTAGTTATCTTCATTTTGAAAACTAATTTGTTTGGGAAATGCAAATAAAGGACTTAAAAGGACTTAAACTTTGCAAAGACTCATAGTCTTTTTTTGCATTTTGGCTTAAGGTAGATCTTTGTATTTGAGCCCAGATCTTTTTTTTTTTTTAAAGTTTCTTCATAATGAAGCTTACTACCTATATTTATTGTTAAGATCTTTTTCAGGTAGGCTCAGATTGCCGCTAGCAGATGTTATTCAGCTTTTTTTTTTTTAAATAGAATCACTTTAGAAATTTAATATCTGTGCAACTGCACCTCGCAGAAGATTGATTTCTAAAACCCATTGATTATATCCAGGATCGTAGAAGTTTCATAGAGCTGTGTCAGATTATGTGGTAAGTGAAAACTGACTTTTAGGGAGACACTTGTGTCTGAAGAACAAGTGCTTTCTCTGGGTGCGTTCCTTTCTCCAGGAAAAAAAAAATTACCTTACTCTGAGGAAAACACTGGAATTAAAATAAAAATGTTGAATTTTGCACATTGTGGCAGACTTCTGAGTGGGGAATACTTTCTGTGCAATACACTTTGATGTTTCTGATCAGGGGGACAACTTGTCTATAAAAAGCTTTCACATTTTTGTCTGCCCTACTACTGTTTTTTCTCTATCTATGATCTTTAACAGGCCAATATAAGCATGTTCTGTTGAAGTAAAATATGATTGCAAGGGATAGTTCTTGTAAAAAGTGTTCATTTCCCTCACAATTCCTCTATCAGCTGAATGTGCTTCCTTCTTGGAATTATGGAGTTTTAAGTCCCATTTAAAAAAAACAAAACATCCTCTTTACTCCAACAATTAATTTTCCAAATAAATACACTTAGGAGTTAGGAGATAGCATCCATGTCAGGTATTTGGACTTTCCTACATAATTCACTGTAAAACCTTAAGTAGTATGTATGTGCAGGAAGCACTTCTATCAATTTCTTAGTGATGATGGATTTTTGTGTAACGTGGAAGAATTAAAAACAAAAGGACTGAATTTATTGTTTTGACTGGAACAGTTGGAAATAAACAGTCAGCTCTGCAGTCTCTCAATCCTGATGATTTAAATATTTGCTGATTGCCCTTGAATTAATTTAATAAAGAGACGTTTCTTTTAAAGAATCTCTTGTTAAGTTGGACTCCTTATGAAAATCTCATAGTCCTGACTGAGTGGTTACATTGGAAAATTGTTTTGGGGTGAGGAAATAACAGAATAATAAACGAGTTGGAGGACACCTTGAAGGTCTTCTAATCCAACTCCCTTCTCAGGCAGAAGACCAGAGGTGGTATGCCAACCTATTTAGGCACATTTTTGATGCCAGGCGCATGCACAGAAGATGCGCACGTGAGCAAAACACATGCATGGAAGGCAGGCACTCATGCGAACCAGGCATGCGTGCATATGAAGCGAAAGTGCGCGTGGCAAACCGGTAGTAACATAAAGTGAAACCCACCGCTGCAGAAGACCCTATGACTTTGGTGATCATTCCTTTCCATCTACATACCCTTCCCCTTGTGGTGAACCTCTGAAGGAGCTCCACATATCTATATTGATATACCAAAGGCAAGGGAAATAGGGGACACTCTTGTTGAAAGTCAGAAGGAAAAGTCATGTGGTCTTTTACTTTCTTTGAATCTGGAAAGGACTCCAGTTAACCCCTGTGTTGTGGTCCGCCACCAGCCTGCGGAGCTGGCAGCGGAGTTGGACAGTGAGGAGGCTGGGGAGGAATATGGGCCGGTCCTGGAGTGTGGGGAAGGCCCGGATGAGGGCTCTGCATCAGAGGCAGAGATGGAGCCAGGGCCATCTGGGAGTGATGTGTGGACTCCGGAGCCTCCAGAGCCGGACAGCAGAGAGGCAGAGGAACAGGGGGAGCCTGTTCCTAGTCGCACATGCGCAGAGCTGCCAGAAGGCACAAACAGTTAAAAGAAAAAGGATGACTCGGGAGTAAGACCTGGAAATGATTGGCCCCTCCCATAAGACTTAAAAGAGGAGCAAAGGCACGTGGGCACTTTGCAGGAAAGCAACGTTGTTAATTCTGTTCCTAGTCGGCATCTCTATTTGATTCTGGACTCCGTGTGGCTTTGCCAAATAGGTCTTTGGCAGAGTGTCAAGGGAGATAAAGGTTGGTGATTATCCCAAAGCGCTTCTCCCGAAGGACTTTTTGCAACTAATTGGAACTCAGCCGTGAATGAACGTAATTCACAGCTGTTGCAATAAAAGAGGTTTTGGGGACTACTCGTGTTTTAATGACTCAGGAAGCCTAGGCCACAACACCCTGAGATTTCAAGGGGAAAGCAATTCCTATTAAGGCAGTTTTCAAGTTCCATCCCCCACCCCAACAAAGCATGGGAGACACCATTAACAACTAAATGATGATGATGATGATAATGTTATCCATTCAGTTGTGTCCGATTCTTGGCGACCCTACAGGCCAGGTCTTTCCAACGTCTTCCAATCTTGCACCGGCTTCTTTGAGTTATTCTACGCTCCGGCTGGTGCCATCTTTGATGGTGTCCAGCCATTGTATCCTTTGGCGACCTGGTTTCCTTTTGCTGCTAACTCTTCCGAACAATACGTATGCTTCTTTGTTTATTAGACTTACGACGCCACCCACCTTGTGAAACATCTCTGGGTGTCTCAAGGTGGCCGCAAAGGCCACTCAAAACAAACCCCAATCCCAGTAAAACCAAAACCTGGTACTTCAATTGTTCTCTGATGCAGCCAACAAAATCATCCTCTGGGCTCCAACCAGAATGAAATACACTTACCTTCCCTACCGGTTCGCCAATGTGTGCGCGCTGCATGCGCAGAGACTTAAAATGTTGCAAAAAAAAAAAAATGACGTCTGCACAGGTGGATGGAGCCTCCCGCAGCTGCCGCTACCAGTTCGCCGAGCCGGATAGAACCGACTAGATTTCACCTCCAACTTTACCGTGTCAGGATTCCTGGAGGAAAAACCAGCTCTTTGTAGCCTTCTGGAAGACTAAAAGGGGGGTGGGATACCTTCGACCTCAAGTTGGTCGACCTCTTCCCAAAGAGTTGAGGTGACCACCAAGAAGGTGTACTGTCTTGAGGTACCCAGATGGCAACATTTAAGGGAAAGGACCTAGAGCAGGGGTGTCAAACTCATGTCACGTCATCACGTGACATTGTGACTTCCCCCCCCTTCACTAAACCAGGGGTGGGCTTGGCCAGTGCGTGACGCATCCGGCCCACGGACCGCGAGTTTGACACCTCTGATCTAGAGGATAGCCACCCTATCTGACCTGCTGGTAGGAGCAGATTCCCTCATGGGAGAGGCAGTACCACAAATTACTTGGATCACTCACCCAAGTGAGGATCACTGACTCTCATACCGGCAGTCCTAGACTTAACAACCGTTCATTTAGTGACCAAAGTTACGATAGCACTGCAAAAAGTGACTCTCATATAAAAAGTGTCCATTTTATATGGTTGCAACCATTGCAGCATCCCCGTGGTCACATGATCCAAATTCAGACGCTTGGCAACTGGTTCGTATTTATGATGGTTGCCGTGTCCTGGGGTCACGTGATCCCCTTTTGCGACCTTCTGAGAAGTGAAGTCAATGGGGAAGCCAGATTCACCTCACAGTTGTGTTACGAACTTAAACGGCTGCCAGTGATTCACAGTAACAACTGTGGCAAGAGTCAAAGAATTAAAAGAGAATATATATGATTAAAAATGGAGAAATTAGAACTGGAGGATGAAAGAAGATGTTTATAGAAATAAGCATAGAAATATTAAGATATGATTAAAAAATATGGAAAAAGAATATTTTGGCAGAAATTGTAACTAAGTAAAATGTATTTGGATATGACAAGTTGTATAAGATATGATATGGCCAATACTCTGTTCATAAAATATGTGGGTGGGTCTGAGGAAAAAAAATACTAATATTTGATTAGATACTAAATACTAAGTATAAAGATACTTTATACTAAATAAAAATACTAAAACTTGATTAGAAAAAAAACAACAACTGTGGCAAGAAAAGTGGTAAAACAGGCCAAAATTCCACCTAACACCTGTCTTGCTTAGTGACATAAATTTTGGGCTCAATTGTGGTCATAAGTTGAGGTCTTATCTGTAGCAGCCCAAAAATAAGCACTTGTGCCGTTGTGGTTGTAAGGTGTGTTCCTTTCAGATGTCACTGTTATTTGTATGGAGACAAAGAAGAGAAGACTCCTGTGAGTCCCTTGGACTGCAAGGCGATCCAACCGGTCAGTCCTAGAGGAGATCAACCCTGATGCTCTATAGAAGGCCAGATCCTGAAGAGGAAACTCAAATACTTTGGCCACCTAATGAGACTGGAGGACTCACTGGAGAAGAGCCTAATGCTGGGAACGATTGAGGGCAAAAGAAGAAGGGGACGGCAGAGAATGAGGTGACTGGATGGAGTCACTGAAGCAGTCGATGTGAGCTTAAATGGACTCCAGAGGATGGTAGAGGACAGGAAGGTCTGGAGGAACGTTGGTCCATGGGGTCGCAATGGGTCGGACACGACTTCGCAACTAACAACAACAAAGAAGAGATTATATTTTGCCCAGGAAGCTTTATTTATTTCATATGGCATCACAGAATTTTAATGCAACCCCCCCCCCAAAAAAAAACAGCATATGAAAAGTCCATCAAGATATAAAACACCAGAACAGGCGTTCTGGTTATGCCCAAGGAGGTTAGAATCCAAGAAGGCACCAAACAGAGAAAGGAGAAAATGGAGATCGAGCTAACCGGGAATACGTAATTGCTTAATTGTATTAAGTTTGGCTTGGTTACAATAATTTTATATAATGTAACAGTATACCTAGAGCGGGAAATCGGTAAGCTGCCTGTGATCTGCATTCCCTTTGTTATAACCCCCGAGTTACCACTCCCCTCATGAGCACACCAAAATCAAATAAAATAGGTTTAATTGTGTTATTGTTTGTGTGTAAATATCACCCCTTAAGTGTCAGAGCTGAAAACCAAATCATTTTAAAAATCCAGGAAAAGAACAAAAAATGGAAGGACCCAGAGGCCGACCAGAAAATAAATGGGATTTACATCTGAATAGACATGTCTATTAGGATATATTATGGATGATTCCAAAAGAGAAGATTTACACAAATTCTTACCCATTTTCGCCCTTCCATTCCGTCCCTTCCCCTTCTCTTTCCTTCCTTCCCTCCCTCCCTTTGTCCTTTCCTCTCCCTTCCTTTCCTCCCTCCCTTTGTCTCTTCCCTCCCCTTCCCCTTCCTTTCTTCCCTCCCTTTGTCTTTCCCCTTCCCCTCCCCTCCTTTCCTCCCTCCCTTGTCTCTCCCCTTCCCCTCCCCTCCTTTCCTCCCTCCCTTTTCTCTCTCTCCCTCCTTTCCTCCCCCTCTTTCTCTTTCCCTCCCTTCCCCCTCCCTTCCTTTCCTCCTCTCCTCTCTGTCTTTCTCCTCCCCTCCTTTCCTCCCCTCCCCCTTCCCTTCCTCCCCTCCCCTCCCTCCCTCCCTTTGTCTCCCCTCCCCTCCCCTTCCTCCCTCCCTTTCCTTTCGCCTTGTACCCAGATTTTCTTTTACTTTTATGACATCTGTTATGGCATAGCAACTGGGAACTTTTCTCTGCTTCCCCAGCCAACAAAGTTCAGCTAAGTTCAGCTAAAGTCTGCAGTGTTGCCCAAGTGGCCTGGCCTAAATCCTCTCCCCTTTTTAAATGTAAATTTTAATTTGTTTTAAATTATGGGGTATTTTAAATTCAGCCAAATTATTTAATTCGTTTTTATTTGATTTTAAATTTTTGTATTTATGTGTTTTTATCTTGTGGCTGTTCACTGCCCTGAGTCCTTCGGGAGAAGGGCGGTATAGAAATTTAATAAAATAAAAATAAATAAATAAATAAAAATAAAGTGAGCCACTCATCTGTGGCATTGTTCTCTTTTACTGGATGGAAATGTCTTGCCCTCTAATCTCGGACTGACTTCCTCTTAGTAAATGAGCCTATCCAGACTGTAACTCCACTCATACTGGATGAATTTGGGAGCAGATTCAGCAAGGGCCAACTTATACGACGAAATACCGTTTGCAAATGAACTTTTTTAGCGGTTTGCCCACCCGTTTGGAATTTCAGGAGAAACACGGCC